AGAGAGAGAGAGAGAGAGGGAAAGGGGAGGGGGGGGGCTGTCTTATAAGGACTGATTGTGAATTTTATGTTTTGATCCCTTTGTAGTCGTGAAACGCAGTATAATAGGTGTGTAATAGCCTGCCAGTAGTTTAAAGTCCAAATAGCAACGGGAGACTATTCGGACTCGAGTATAGACCTCGCTTACGGTACAACCGGTGATTGCGCACATGCACTGGAATTTGAGTCCGAATAGCCTTCAGTGGCTGTTCGGACTCTAGTCCGAATAGCCACTTCGATCTAGAAATCTAGTGGTGGTCTGCTAGGCTAATATAATAATAATAATGTTCAAAGAGGCCGTGTCATGAGTCATTTACTTCCTCCGATGTGCAAGTCTTCATTCAATTCCAATCAATGTGCAGACTAGATCTATATCTAGATTCTAGATGTAGAGTCTAGATTAGATCTAGTCTTCTATCATGTTCTTTAGCTTTAACTTACTTGAGGTGTGCATAATTTGACGTTGTATGGTAGGTGGCGGTCGCCTTCAGAGCTCCCCCGATAACAATCCAAATCCTCATCATCAAAACCTAATTGAAGATCCATTTCAATAACACTCAAAGAAATATGAAAAATTCTTGAGAGACCATGCAACAGTCTCTTTATGAGATCTCTGTGTTTCTTTTATATTTAAACAAGCCTAGTCTACCTCCGTGAAAAAGACGCTCACAGCAGTCCTCCTCATTCAGGTTGGGCCAGTGTCGTTTAAAATAAACAACACAGTTCATGTTTTGAAACTTTAAAAATTGTACTTCTGTTAGCTGCAAAACTGGTAGATTTCTAGTTGAAGCTGTTCATAGGCTTACCTATTTGATTATGACCTTTACAGTAAAATAGACTCATTAGATCCAAATAATTTCAAATAAAGCAAATCTGTTCAAGCATTACAGTCTGGGTTTTTTCCCCTGGGCATCCATTGTCGGTACATTTTACGACTTTATTCTTATGCCAAAAATACAAACTGTCAACACATGAATGAAGCGGTTGGTACGACAAGCAATCGTAAACCTACTAGTGTAATTGACTTCGGGTAAAGACACAATGGTGAGATTAACTCATTTTTAGTCTTAAACTTAATGTGCAATGGAATATGAATCTTAGATTATGTATTGGAAACCATTACGATGTCTCAGAGACTCATAAAGCATGAGAATAAATTGCTCCCGTAGGCTAAGGCTATCCGCCGCTATTGTCACTATTGAATCAAACCTTCATCAGTCACACTCATGAAGCTTCGACTGACGACTTACTTTCACTTTCTTCTAAATAAGATCTAATCTAGATCTAGAGTCTAGATCTACATCTAGATCTAGGCTTAAATCTCAAACTGACAATGAGGCTAGCCGTACTTAGTTTAGTGGCGGCTTGACTGCTAGGCTTGCTGTAACATGCGATTAAAAGTAGAAATGATGCAAACTATTTTTAGGTAAGGCGTCCATCTTGTTTGACGTCAGACCAGGATACCCCTCCGATCACGTGACTACATCTAAGTATAGACAACCGCATGGCACCAAAGATGGAAGTGTCTATGTATATTATGCTTAATCTACACAAATTTCTCGGAATTTCTGATAGCTGATTTGATAGCGCGTCTGCGTTTGATGTCGAGCAATGACTTTTGGAGCGGTTCGATTCCGGTCCCGGACAGTTTTTTTTTTCTCTTTTCCTCCTCCCGACTGACCAACAGTTCCATAAATTATAGGCCTAATTTGTAGAGTTGCTTTGACTTTGAAGTTGTTGTTTATTTTTAAAAATGTATTAGTGATTAAAAATGCAGGAGGGCGGTAGATCTAAATTTAGATATCTAGATCTAGATTTCTAGATCTAGATATTATCTAGTCCTCCTGCGTCTTTACGGCAATTTTCGTGCGGTCTTCCATCATGTCCAGGTAGGCCTAATAGATCTAGATCTAGAATCTAGTTCTAGATCTAATCTAGAATCTAGATCTAGATCTAGATATCTAGATCTAGATGTAGATTCTAGATCTAGATCTAGAAAATCCGAAATGTTACCGAAAACACGTCGTTCCATGTTTGGGTATCCCAGGAAGTGATGACATCATATTACTAAAATAAGCAGCCAATCAGAAAGATGCGTCATTTCTAAGTTTAACGGCATGTCTTGCTGTAGGCTACTTAATAATGATGGCTAGACTGACAAACAGCAAAACATAGGCCTACTGAATTGTAAATAAATGTTTAGTTTGAAATGGCCAGCTCTATTCGGACTCGAGTCCGATTAGATTTTTTAATCTATTTGGACTCAAGTCTGATTAGATATTTTGTCTACCGTGGTACACGGTAACCCACAACTCAGGGTCTTTCCACCACCACTCCAGCATCATGATCACTTCCACCACCATAATAAATGGTCTTTCCTCATGTTTAATTACATTTTGTTGTGTGTTATAGTTTTTCTGTAATTAATTTCTAATATACCTAACTCTTGTCGTGCATCTGTGTTGAAATGCAAACAGGGTTGGGTTGATTTAAATCAGTTGATTTTTTAAATTTAAATCAACTTGATTTTAAAAATAAAAATCAGTGATTTAATTCACTTTTTTAAAAATCTATTTTTATTCAGTTTTTACATATTTCAACATTCAGAATTCCTTTCCTAGGTTTCATAAAACAGATATAAGGTTTAGTACACTAATATAATCATGCTTTAAAGTCTGCTTTCCCCCCTTTCACTGTAAAATAATACAGTATTCAATTTACTTTTTTCCCCATAATTGAAATCAGAGCTGGGTTGATTTAAATCAGTTGATTTTTAAAATTTTAATCAACTTGATTTTGTGATTTAAATCACTTTTTTAAAAATGTATTCTGTTTTTACATATTTAAACATTCAGAATTCCTTTCCTTGGTTTTATTTAACAGATATAATAAGGTATAGTAGACTAATATAATCATGCTCAAAAGTCTGCTTTCCCCCCTGTCACTGTAAAATAATACAGTATTCAATTTTCTTTCTTTTCATAATGGAAAACCAGGGTTGGGTTGATTTAAATCAGTTGATTTTTAAAAATTTAAATCAACTTGATTAAAAAAAATAAACCTCAGTGATTTAAATCACTTTAAAAAAATGTATTGTTTTCACGTCTTTAAACATTCAGAATTCCTTTCCTTGGTTTTATAAAATAGATATACGGTTTAGTAGACTAATATAATCATGCTTAAAAGTCTGCTTTCCCCCCTGTCACTGTAAGTAGTAAATTAATACAGTATTCAATTTACTTTTTTTTCATAATTGAAATTAGCATTTTCTTTTTCTTTTTAGACAAACACAAGCGCGCACACACACACACACGCACACTGTAATAAAATACAAGTTTATCTATGCATAATTACCCCCCTCCCCCCCTTTCCTTTTAGTTTTAGACTGACATTTTCTTCATTTTTTGTCTGTAGCCATAATTCACTGATAATAGCAGATTAAGGCTTTCTTTTGCAGTTGCTTAAATTAATCATTAGTTAAAATAAAGACAATGCATTCTACACTAAAAGAACATACTTTTAGCCACCAAAAATCCCAAACTGTGTCGACATTTAATTAAAAAAAATAAAAAAATCCGATTTAAATTTTAAAAATCTGATTTAAATTTAAAAAATCGATTTTTTAAATTTTTATTTAAAAAATCAAAAAAATCACCAACCCTGGATGCAAATCTTATTAGCAACAGATTATGTCGGACGTTCTGGGCAGGGCGCCGGGGTCACTCTCTCAGCGTGCACTGTTGGTGTACAGCGAGTGAGCCTGGAAACTTGTGTTTTTGCCATGAATACCGTGGGAGTGCGTTATTCGATGATGAAAATAACACTATCTTTTATAGCTTTTTTTATAAAGTTTATGAACACATGAATAACCTCTCTTAAGCTGATAAGACATTACGAGTAGTTCTTCGAATAACCTTTTTAGATGCTCTTGCTGTTATGAATGATCTGGGGTTTGAAAGGGGATGATATAGGTCAATTTCCGAATGTTTTGCACTCAAATTGTTCATTTTACCTGCACAATGGTATTCAAAACTATCAAGCTTATTTTTTATCAGGTAGTATCATTTCATACAAAATCAAGCTCATTTGAAAGATTTTGTATTTAAAAAAATGGAAGTCCTGTTTCCTGATTCTACTTTCGAGCTCGTCATGTCTAAGTGGGTCAATTTGTTCTATAATTTCATTGGACGAACATCTAGAGCTATCAACTTGGCGTGTTGAATGAGATATGTATGCCTCGGTTATGAACCGAGGCAGGCGGTTCTAGAAGAAGGCCACATGCGTACACAAAGTCAAGCAAACTGACGCTCACACACTTGAGCTGCGTGAATGCGGGTCCGACGTGGGACCCGAATGGAACGGAAATGATGCTCGGCGTGTGTGCATTGAGCCAGGGGCCAGACTGACATAGGATCGAAACGAAGGCGAGGTGCCGAAACAGGCTTATTGGGTGACATAAACCCAGCCCCCGCAGGATGAGGGTTAATCACATCACACAAAATCGACAGCCATGGCCTCTTCCCAACACCTCTTCCCCCAGCAAGCCGAGAGTGCGTGATTGCTATACGCAGTCTCATTGGTCGACATAGTTAACTTTGCACTGGGCAGGGTCAACTGAACTTGATTGTTCTGTTCATACTAATGATGCAGGGAGGGTCCGTTTAGATAGATCTAGTAACTGGATGTTAAAGCTCACGTCTCGATTGTTATCATTATAATCGAACAAAATTTCGTAAGTGCTGGAAATATTTAGGAACAAGGGTCGAAAGTCGGAACGGACGTCATGCTGGACTCAATTCAGAGTCCGAATATAATTTTTGTCTATTCGGACTCAAGTCCGAATAGTCACTTCGCATGCAATACCTTAAGTATTTGTATTTGAGATGAAACCAAAAGGTGCCTTACTGACAGTAAAAATGAGACCTGTGTACTCAACAGGTTTCGGTCAATGGGGCCTGCTATCTCATTGTGCTGACATTGTCTTTCTCTTTTCTCTTCATAGTCGATTTCTTTCTCTGTGTTCCTGGGTAAAATTTGAAGTGCAGTTCAATAAATGTAATTTGCTTTGTTTTGAACTCACAGGAGTGGACAAATTCTGTTTGGTTTTCTGTGTGCTGTTTTGTTGTGGTCTGCTTTGTTTGACTATCATTCCTTGTCTTGTTTCTTTCCACAGTTACCGCTGTCCTTGCTGAGAACAGCTGTCAACCACCCTATGGTAAATTTGTTTGCTTTTAAATGTATAAAGCACGTCAAAAATTGCTTATATTCTTACTTAAAATTTATTTAAAGAATTGCATCATGTTTGGCTAAAGAAAATCCAAGTATTAAAGATAAATGTCTGTCATTGCATTAGTCTTATGTTTTAAAAATTTAGGCTAATGCTTTTCTGTTCCTTCAGCATATTAACTCTTTTTATCCTGGCCGTACCCCCACGGACTCTGCTCCAGTCCTGGGGCCACTGCGCCATATGAGTTGGAATTTAGGGTGTATATTTCAAAGTGCTGTAATTCTTACATTTACTCTTAGATTTTATAGAAATTTGGCAGTTATGTTAGAAATTAAATGTAGTATCTGAAAATGTATGTGGTTAGGAATTACACCAATTGCACCATGTAGAGTTTGAAGTGTATTCCACCCTCCAATTTGACCCTGATTGCTGTGCCCACGACACCCCCTTGGATTTACAGATCTTGCCCTACCCATCAATACTGCATGAATTCCAGTACTGGTCCCTTCTCCATGATCTGAATTACTATTAGATGACTCTAAAGGCCCAGCTACACGTAACGATAAATTGAACAAAAACAGGACGATCTAGCGATCATACGATAAATCGTTAGATGTAACCACAAAATTGTTCAAAATTTGGACGATTGCACGATAGTTTGGAGACTCGGTCGAGAAATCCAGCGCTGCTTGATATTTTCCGTGCGATCACGGTCAGATTTGAGGGAGATGCGCTGTGACGCAGATTCACTTTGAAATTTGCTGCCGCGCAGAATTAAAATTAAACTCAGGGCTCAAAATTTTTTTAATGATTACGCAGGTAAAAACTGATTTCATATTCGGAATCAGCATCTCAAAATAAGCAAAGTTGCTTGCGGTGATCCTGATTTGGTGCGTTATTATTTATATTTTAGCAATTTTATTATTTAGTTGGTCGTCAATAGTGAAGCTGTGCATCATGGTCACTCGGTGCATTGCACATCTGCAGTCAAGTCAAAGCTTCCGGTTCTACACACAACACGGTAGGCCTACAGTATGGCCACCCTTTTCTAAAGACACTGTTCCGCTAGATCTATATCAAAATGTACCTGAGAGGGGGGGGGGGAGCTTCTGTGATCTAGAGGTAGTGTTCACCTTTCATTCATTAGGTCCAGAGCTCCAAACCTTCACATAGAGAGCAGGCAAATTGCTGTTGTCGCAAAGAGACATGGTGGCTTTATGACGAGGAATCTCCTCAATTGAAAGAAAACTGGACGATAGATTGGAACGTGTAAACAGACAACACAGTTCGATAAAATGGACTGTTCTCTCATGCAACGAATCTGATACAATTTATCATTTCGTGTAACCGGGGCTTAATTCCTGTTCGTTATCACCCACAACGGAATATACGGCAATGGTCACTCTCATCAAATTAGTCTTATTCCCTCTCACAACCCAGTGCCATTTCTTGAAGTACTTCGTTGGTTGTGAATGTGCGTTTTCGAGACATTTTTCAAGCTTCTACACCCATTGAAAATAAAGAAACTGCTGTTCATTGTAAAATTGAAATATTCAGACAGAGCAAGCACCCGCATTTGCGTATTTTGGTAGTTACAAGCAGAACTAGCTGTTTGACGTGACCGTATAACCCTAGCTGTTCTGAGTTAACTCAGAGCCGGGCTTAGTCCTTGTTAGGAGTATACTCGTAGCCCGCATAAAAAGAGTTAATGTGCTAAAACACACAACTGTACTTTATGTTTTTATACGAGGCAGAAAGGTGTGCATTTGAAGTGTAAATGACTTGAAATCTTTACAACACAATACATATTACCAGAGTTGCATTATAATAGTGAACTAGAACCAGCTGTAGTCTCTTTGAGTTTGATTCATCAAAACCCACCTGTATGAGATGTTGTTGCTGTTAGTGATCCAGGCCTGTGTGAGATAAACTGTGTGTGTGTGTGGGACCATGACATTTTTGTCATTGTCTTTTTTTGTTCTCTCTTCTTTATTCAGCTGGTGGAATTGAAGAATGGTGAAACATACAACGGCCATCTGGTCAGCTGTGACAACTGGATGAACATCAATCTTCGCGAAGTCATCTGCACATCAAGGGTAAGCTGTGTAACCGCAGATCTCTTCATAGAAAAAACCCCATAATTTTTCTGAGAGAAAAAAGGCTTTTGGAATAATTGTTGTGAAAATTATTTGAAATTTAGAAAGTATTAATCCATTTTGTATTTGCTTTGAGTTAATTGTTGCAGTCCGATTCCTGTCAGTAACTCAACCTTGCCCTGTCAGTAACTCAACCTTGCCTTTTCTGTTAGGAATAGAGCAAGAAGTAAAATGCTAGGGTGGTAATATGATTGCCATATAATTATGTGTACAAGAGACACAGCGTTTTTAGAACACACATTTTTAGTAATGTATAAATAATAAAATTGCATTTGACATCTCTGTCTATCTTTGGGTAAATGACACTGACTTAAAAAATAACAAGCACTTGTTTCATTACTTACTTATTTTCAAAAATTGTTCATAGAATATCACAAGCTATCCTTATTTTTTTAAAGATTTTGAAATGCAACAGATTTTATCATCATGGATATGCTGAAGTTTTAACTTTAAACAGACCTACTTTATTTGTTGTAATAGACATGAAAATACACATTTTTGTTTGCATATTTGTGCAATTTATAATAAAAGATATGAATATACACATCTTTATTTATATGTGTTATTTGCGTATGTTTTCAATGTACATGTTAATTTGCCATGTTCAGTTTGTTAAGTAATCTTAATCTACTCGGGTTCTTGTGACACTGATTTTTTCTCCCAAACTCCTCATCTTTTGGCGGGATTCTGTGGACACTGTTTTTCTGTCGATTGATTAGCAAGGTCTGCTTGATCTACAGTCTGGTTTTTCTGTCGATTGATTAGCAAGGTCTGCTTGATCTACAGTCTAGTTTTTCTGTCGATTGATTAGCAAGGTCTGCTTGATCTACAGTCTGGTTTTTCTGTCGATTGATTAGCAAGGTCTGCTTGATCTACAGTCTAGTTTTTCTGTCGATTGATTAACAAGGTCTGCTTGATCTACAGTCTGGTTTTTCTGTCGATTGATTAGCAAGGTCTGCTTGATCTACAGTCTAGTTTTTCTGTCGATTGATTAGCAAGGTGTGCTTGATCTACAGTCTAGTTTTTCTGTCGATTGATTAGCAAGGTCTGCTTGATCTACAGTCTGGTTTTTCTGTCGATTGATTAGCAAGGTCTGCTTGATCTACAGTCTGGTTTTTCTGTCGATTGATTAGCAAGGTGTGCTTGATCTACAGTCTAGTTTTTCTGTCGATTGATTAGCAAGGTCTGCTTGATCTACAGTCTGGTTTTTCTGTCGATTGATTAGCAAGGTCTGCTTGATCTACAGTCTGGTTTTTCTGTCGATTGATTAGCAAGGTGTGCTTGATCTACAGTCTGGTTTTTCTGTCGATTGATTAGCAAGGTGTGCTTGATCTACAGTCTGGTTTTTCTGTCGATTGATTAGCAAGGTGTGCTTGATCTACAGTCTGGTTTTTCTGTCGATTGATTAGCAAGGTGTGCTTGATCTACAGTCTGGTTTTTCTGTCGATTGATTAGCAAGGTGTGCTTGATCTACAGTCTGGTTTTTCTGTCGATTGATTAGCAAGGTCTGCTTGATCTACAGTCTGGTTTTTCTGTCGATTGATTAGCAAGGTCTGCTTGATCTACAGTCTGGTTTTTCTGTCGATTGATTAGCAAGGTGTGCTTGATCTACAGTCTGGTTTTTCTGTCGATTGATTAGCAAGGTGTGCTTGATCTACAGTCTGGTTTTTCTGTCGATTGATTAGCAAGGTCTGCTTGATCTACAGTCTGGTTTTTCTGTCGATTGATTAGCAAGGTCTGCTTGATTTACAGTCTGGTTGGTCGCTGTATTTTGGTGCCTTTTTTGTTAAAAAACCTCATACAGCATAATTTGGTCTGTGGAGTTCTTCACAAAGATGATTTTCAGATTCCATGTATGAATGTAGAGCACACATAAGAGGGCGTATAGTATTTTGGTTGGAAAGAGTACACACTGCATCATAGGATGTCTACTGTAGTCATCACAACTGCATCAACATAATCATCAATGCTATTTTCTAACTCTGTGTAACTGTTTTCTTGAAAATTTGATTTAGATGATGAGATAAGACTTGAAAGCTAGTTCCTAATTTTTATTGAGAACTTGCAGATCGACTTTTGCAGTCAGAAAAAGGATTAACCGTTTAAAAAATAAACCATGGCCAAGTTTCCATTAGACTAGAGCCAAAAAAAACCCCAAACTATACATCTGCATAGTTTTTGTTTTCGTCTTGAGGAAAAGTATACATTATGGACGTCATTGCTGTAATTTTTTCTCATGTTAATCTCATGTTTCTGTCCCCAGGATGGCGACAGGTTTTGGCGCATGCCAGAATGCTACATCCGTGGCAGCACCATCAAGTATCTGAGAATACCCGATGAGGTCATAGACATGGTCAAAGAGGAAGTAGTTCAGAAGTCAAAGGGCAGAGGTGACTTCAAAGGAGGCCGAGGTGGCGGTCAGAGAGGCCGAGGAAGAGGTCAGTCTGTTTGCTATGTATGTTATTTGTGTGCAATGATAATAAAGGAGACAGGGCTGCTTCACACTTGGAATAGAAGTAAAAGTGTTTTGGTTGAGACCTTATAGGTGCCTAGGAAAAGAACGTTATTTTATAATCCAAACTTACAGGGCAATAGTCACATGACATTCAGAGGGTGCTTTCTACCTTTTCGTAGGCTACTGGATAACTATTTGGCTCCTGGAGATTTGCCCTGGTGCATGCCCCGATATCCTGGAAAAGCAACATAATCCTCTAAAAAACATCATACATATATTACATATGTGAGGCAGTGTGGGGAAATCAAGCGCAAGTCAAAAAGAATTAAATCGGAGAAACAGGCATTTTCCCACTGTACAATTTTTATGTTTTTGGCTTTACCTCTTTTATGTCCATTTAAAAACATATTTTCATGTGAATGTTACTGAAAACATCGATTAAAGGCACAAAAAATGTCATTTTTCAGTTTTCAAAGACTCTTTTTTTAAGTATTAGAGTTACCAATCTTTAGCGGCCATTTTCCCACTAATTTCACCACTGAAACCAGGCGACCTCACATCCTTCAAATGCAGATATCTTGAGTTCTATTCAAGATAAATGATATTTATTTCATTGGAAGCAAGGCAAATAAATCAGCTTTCAGATGATACCAATAACTCCACATGCACAAAAATTGACTAGCGCCTAATTCCACCGTATCATGACACATGTTTTAAAAAAAGATTAATTTAAAATATAAGATTCTTTACAAAGTGATCAGGGGAAAATGCACTACAGTCAAACACTGGTAACTCGAATTTGTCTGGGATTTGAAATAGTGTTTGAGATTTCTGTAATTTGCCATATCCGTGGAAGCCCCAAATACAAAGAAATAGAGAGAAAGTCAAGGGAGGTAAATATAAAAAAAACTAACGTTAACTCCCTTGATGAACGTGTTGACGGTGTGAAAGCAAGCAGATGAAAAAGTGGAAAGCAGAAAATCTCACATATGCACAGCCGACTCCTAAGTCCTTCCTTTCCTCTCATTTCATTGGCTTACAGAAAGTAATGCCTCTTGCCATCCGCACCGCACCCGTCCCACAGCATGATTGCACGCGCGTCGCAAGCCAGTCGTGCGGTGCGATCAGCATCCCTCCCCGACCCCCTTTCCTCGTCCCCTCTTCCTCCAGCCTCTCATGGTGAGATAAGGACCATGTTTTGGCTGTAACAATAACAAAGAAACACCTGCTTGTGGCCTGAAAGCCTGTAAAGCTGGGACTTTCATTGAGAATGCGAAATGGATTGGTTCGAGATTCGAGTGTTGCGTATTCCGAGTGTTCGGAAACTCCGTGAAGTCAATAGAAAGAAAGTTTAGGGTCTGAAACGGGACCAAGTATTATGTTTGAGATACCCGTAAATTCGTGATTTTCGTGTTCGAGATTCGTGGACTCTGCTGTATGTTAGGAAAAGAATATTTTTTTTCTAATGAGCCAGTTTCCGTTGCGACACAGTATTGTCTAGTTATTTATTTCTCTCATTATGGTTGTGACTATTGGGATTTCATTTGGTACCTAGCTGTTTCATTAAATGAAAAAAATAACCAACTGGTATGACTTAAAAATACAGTATTATTGTAGACCGAGAAATCAACTTTCAAAGTTTTCTTGGAAACTTATCCAACTTTGAATTCCATCGCACCCTCCTTTTCGTCATATTTACTTTTTTAAAATTCACAAACACGCCCTGTTTCTGGGTTAATTTTGACCATACGAAAACTCAAAGAAAGGAGAACTACTGTACTTTCGTTTTTTAGCCTCGGTTTCTATCGGTTCTAATCAGACATTCTTCCAAGACCTCATGCAAATGCATACCACAAAAAGGTTGTGCGCTTGGCGATTGAAACGTCGCGCAAGGCCGCTCTAGGTCAGAATCAATAGATTTCAGGCAATGCTGCTCTAGGTGTTCCATTGTTCCATTGTTTCAGGAAGCAACATCCTTGCTTTCCAAATACGTCCATTGATGCTCCTTTGCTCTCTCCAAAATGTTACTAACGGTCTTTGTACTGATTGTGCCAGTGCACATCTGGTTGAACGTTCTTCTGTTCTTTCCTGCAAGGGTGCCAGATTTTCCGCTTCCTCTCTGTGCTCCTAAAACCATCATCCTCTCCACAGCAGTTCTGGCCTCTGCCTCCTTGTCTTCCTCTTCAAGTGGTGTTTAATGGTTAAATAGCCATAGTCATATAACGCTGACTTTGCTTTGACCAATGTGGTTGTAAATGACAATGTTATAGACAGACCTGGGATTTGTTGGTACGGTACAAATCATGTGACCAGTGTTTGGAGTCACAACGAATCGTCTGTAAGTAGGGTGTCCTCCCTTCTAACAAATTTAGCGGTCAAAACACTGTGGTCCAGATAAGTGATAAAAAAAGCTTTTTTTCTGTAGTTCTTCCGCTAATGTATACACAGAGAGTAAACTCTGTCATGCTCATGTTCCGATGTGTCCGCTGTTTTTCAGGTGCTTTCCAGCCTGGTGGTCGCGGAGGCCGTGGTGGGGGTCGTGGTGGTGGTGGTGGCAACAAGCCAGGAAATCGACGGGGTAACTGAAAACAGCATGGAAGGTTTTGTCCATTTTGTATGTGTTCAAATGGTTTCCCTGAATGTATGACCATGGGGAATTGTTGCAGATGTTTTCAGGTGCAAGTTTGAACAAGAGGAATATGAAAGATGGATATGTTAAGGCAGTCAAGTGTCATTGTTGTAAGCTCTTGAAGTTCTGGTATTACACACTATGAAGTGCCTACAGAAGCGCTGGAATTTTTCTGAAAAGCAAAGGCTTGCACAAAAATTATGAGTGTGTTGCTGTCAATGATTGTTTCAGATAACTCCTAGCGTGAAAAGTGAGTAAGATTATGAAAAACTGACAAGTTTAAGTCGACGAGTCTCACTGCTGTAAGCCATTGGATTATGATAAGTGGTTGTTAGTATGTTTGAGTTTGTGTGAGCAAAGTGAAACTGTTCATGTGTTATGAATGACAAAAGGTCATACTACGCTTGTTTGTGTGAGAGATGTGCTTGTATGTGTGGATATGATTGCATATTGTATACGTGACTTTTTGGGAAGAATTGGGCTTGTCCTTTATGAACGTGCTCGGTGCTCATGTTTGTTCAGACCGGTGCGTGTGTGTGCTTGTGGGTGTTGAGAAAAAGAGTTGAACGTACACAGATCTAGTGTATACTGTTAATGTTTGTTCGTTTGTTTGTTGGTTGTTGTTTTTTTTTGGGGGGGGGGGTGTAGAAGTGCGTGGAGAGGATACTGTTGATGTTAATTTCTTTGCGACTATATTTAGGATAATTTTGTGCTCTCTATTCCTGTCTGTGTAATGTAGTTTCCAGTTCCCATTTACATTTGGTGGAATAGTCAATTTGTTGGGGATTATGGAGTGAACAGTCTAGGTCAGTATACAAAGCCGTCAAATGTTTTTGATACATGAGCTAATTTAATGTTGAAAGGCTTTTTTTCTGTGAATATTTCACATTTGCAAAAACAAAAATGTTGAGATTTTTTCCATGTAAAAGAACCATCGCAATCATTTTGCTTCTCACTTTACAACTCAAAGATATCTTTTGACGGTATGAGGCTGTGCATTTGACCTGCATGTTACATCGTGGCTGCTCTCCTTTCATTTTCTCAGAAATATATTCAACTGCAAAGTGGTCAGGTCTTTTAAAACAGAATACATTGGCTTTTTTTCTGATAGGTCAATGTCAATCTCATTCATTTTTGTAATATTGTGAATATTGCTGCCATGAAATACGGTAATGCTTTTGTACATGAATAAATTATCACCTAAAAGTGACACCAGGTTTTGTTGTTTTACTTCGTCGGTTTACCCTGAAGTTTTGTCCCTCTTTGTCTGGGATGTGCTTTGGGCTTTGTGATTGTGCTCAATAATTTGCTGGGGGTGCACCTGAGCGAGTAAATTCTTTGTAAAATTGTGATTTCTCTTTTATATGTCTCTTGCTTTTACGAAAATAGGATCGTAATACCCACGATTCCGATTTTTAAATGTCGGTGTCTTGTGATGCTCTCATTCAGGATCAAAGGCTTGTGACATATTTTGGAGTTTCAAATGTTTCTTTTGTTTTTGCAAGCAATACCCCCC